TGTCCTAGATTTAAGTAGAATCCACACATATATCAAGCTTGTGCATCACACATTGTAGAAACTTTACTGTCAGACCAAGTAGATAGTCCGGTCGCCATTACCGATAAGGTCTCTATTCTGTTTGCGATAAGCTCCAGGCTACAAGTTAAATTTGTCTGTTACACTTCGTGATAACATTCACTTTTCGGCAGGTGCTTTCTACATGATGAGTAGGCGTATTCAATAAACACCGGGCACAGTATCGGCTTGGTTTGTTTCCCTCGCCACGTTTCTAAACTGCGGGATATCCCTGGTCAAAACTGGGACGAAATAACCGTCTTATTTTACATACACACGCACGCCGGGTATGTAAGTAAGTCGTATACACATATATACGATATGCGAAAGCTACACAAAATAATCAGTGTCAATATTTGTATGTCTGTTTTTCTGTCACGCATGTCAAGTTTTTAAATTCAGGTGTATGCCCTAGAAAGATAGCCGAAACCACTGAACCATAACATCGTGATGTTAATATTTGTGTCGGATGTAAAGGAACGACAAAAGATAGAGTCGTGTATTTAACAGGTAATCATCTACTTATACTAAAATTTCCATGTTCTGCATGATCATGAGTACACTTAACACCCACAAAACAGATTTATTGTCAGCTTAAGACACGTAATACAAATACCAAATCTACCTTCACACATTTCCAAAAAACCAATATCATATAATATAAAAAAAGAATGCATTAATATTTAAATTGTATTGGTAATTATAAAATTAGGATTTGTATATAGATATTTGATTTCTCGACCAATGAAGCTAACAAATCTTGTAAGAAATCATATAATTATCCCCTTTTAATACCTATTTGAATACACAGTTCGTACCTATGTATGATCTGGATAACATGACTTAAATGAATCCATTTAACTACCATGCAGTATTGACATTATGCAAGCGTGGCATATCGCTTTTTAATCTAATGCAATATGTTATTAGTTATGTATGTTTGTAAAACATTGGGCGAGATGTAAAGTCGGTGTTACTATGTATGAGGTTTTAAACGATAACCAATAAACACATAAACACGTTCTGCTAAGTTAATGTACCTGCTCATTACTAGTAGTTTTGATGCTTGCTATAAAGAATTCAATATATTGAACACATGTTTTCATGTGAATGTTAGGATGCAAATATGTAATGTCTTTGTCAGAAAAATAAAAACAAAATCCAAAATTCAGAATCTTGATTCAAACTCTGCTTGACGAAACAAGAGCAAACTACGAATCAACCACACGAGTCCCCAGGAAAAAAGTAAAGAGGGAATAAATTCAAGTGTAACGGAAGTGTAAACGTCTTCTGTTTCATCGACGACACCCACCATGTTCATCTGGTTCATTCAAGGAGGTAACGCACGTTCCCGATTGAGAATAACACAAAGAACAATGTAATCACCCTAAAGACAAACGAGATTCAAACTCGTCCAACTTATATCATATAAGGGAAACGAATATCTCCACATGGAATCATTAAGACGACCGTAAAGTTCCCCTACAATCAATAAAGTACCATTGCATTGGAGAACATATACTTATTATTCCCTATGTATACTACCACACCCATCCTCGATACTTCAGGGGTTACGACATCTTTTCTCTGCAGCTGAAAAAGTTCATGGTAAAAATTGAGTTTCCATGTGCAACGCATTATGGATAAAATGAAAGACTAGTTTGATCCTTTGGTGTACCTCAATCAAATCGCATAACGGTATCTTGTGATGGCTATGAAGTTTGGTGTAGCTCCTTTGTGATCGTGAAAGGAACGTATCAGTCTGATTGGTCAGTTATTTCACCTGAAGGAATTAAGATGGAGACAGTCACAGTGTTCCTCCGCTTTTCAAATAAGAAAACTAATAAGCTAGCAAGTGAAGATTAATTTCCATTGAAGAATGCTATATACAATCTGTATTGACATGCTTGGAGTTCGAACACAGAATACACATCATCACACCCACGACCAGTCTGCACCATGCGGCTTAAGGAAAACAATACAACAGCAATACACAGCCCGACCGACATCTGTCGACTGTTGTGTCACAGTGATTTATAAGAAAGGAAGCCGAACGTGTTATTTTCGTCACGATGAAAGATGAAAAGACCGCTATAAAACTGACTTTAGAAATAAACATGCGTATCAAGTTCATAGTGCATGATAAGCTCTGGTATAGAAGAAGATTTTCTTTTAAAACAAGATTAAAACATTCCAGCAGATTTAGTTTCCGATGGCAGAGGTGACATAAATTCCCCTTGTTGTTTGACGAGTTATTTGGCTGCTATTTTTCACCTTTCTCATTTAGATATACCTAGGATGAACAAGTACGAAAGAATTCTCCGTCTTATTCTCTTCTTTTTTAGTCAGCTACGTTATCATAAATGTAAGCCTATTAAAATACTGGTTAAATGAAAGGCAACATATAGTAGAGAGCTTGTTGATATTATTAATACTCGTCATTATTTCACGTTTTAATTCATCCGAATAGTGGATTGCATGGTGCAATTTAATTCATCGTTGGGTTCTGCTGTAGCTAACTCTAAATCATCAGAGGGTGATATTCTTTTGTGTGACAATTGTACAATCTTCAGGGTAAAAATGTAATACGAAATGTGAAATGACCGTATTAGGATCCTGTTGAGATTTCCGATAATAATGTTCAGCTGGTGTCAAACAAATGCTGATAACTATACCGTAAGACACGAACTCATTGTTATGGAAACAATGTATCAGCTATTGCTGCTATTTTTATGTCTCTTATCTACCTAACATAAGTTATAGTTTCATTTCCAGATGACATCGAATCGATATCATTGTATAGTATGCGCGGGATGTGTCTGTATTGTTCATTTAGGGTTTAATCAATATAAGTCACAATGACCTAGATTTAAACATAACGATGTATGTCGGTTAACGGGATAACAGAAAGAATTATATTACATAATTGTTAGTCATGATGAATATCGACTTTTGAGTGGTATGTTATAAAGGCTGGGGAATAAAGCTAACTCTAGTTTGTCAGTCACAAAGCGTCACCTGTATGTCACGTTTCAACTCACTCGGAAAGTGGTACTGTTCTGCATACAAACATACGTTCTTTTAAAAATAATCGAATATATGAACATTGTGAAATTAATTGAATGGTTTGGCTAGAGCATCTCCCTGTCTAGATTTTGATATTTAATCGATCATTTTTCATTTTCAGCAGTCGCCTGTTACGTTTTAAAAAATGAAAAACTTAGTGTCACTGACGAGACATAGAAGGATGAAACAGCAGTATAATGTAGCTCTATTCATAATTTGTATACTATATTGAAATATAACTCTAAATTGGTATTGGGAGGTACTCGTGACTCTTGTCTATTTTTTACAATCATTAGAAATATCTTTTGTTCTGAAAAGGAAATAGTATCCTGGTATTTTGGGTTAAAATCATGATATACATAATGATACATGAAAACTATTTTGATAAAATGATAGTGAAGATTCCTGAAAGAATAAATTATCAGTAGAATGTTAAAAATAAATTTCAAAAGAAATGCCATAGTTAAATTCAGGTACACACACTTCTTGTAATGTCTTTTATCAAACCAAAACTTTCCAAATAAATGTGATTTTTCATGAACGCTTTGCTATCAGTGAAATATAAAAGAGTTATTCCCTAAAAAAGCTGTTACATGGTGCTCTGGGAAGCGAAAATTATGCATGAATATTATAATATGAATATCAGTCACGTTTATCAACTACGAAACAGTTTCGAGGAATATATAACCGAAGTCCTTATACCACAACAAATAAGAACATTATGTGTGACATTTGATGACTACAACGTTACTTTCATCAGATCACTGGTGTTTGCCTCGTTCGTCAAAAGGCATACTAAAATCAAGATGAATACAGTTAACATAGCGAAATGACCCAATTTCGGGAAAGTTGTGATTGCAACTACATAGTTCAAGATATCTCGCAGGGAATGGTCTAAATCGGCAAATAAATGGTTGTTCTGAAATTGGGTATGATTCACTGTATATCATGTCGTAAAAGGTTTTCCAAACACTGTTAATGTCAAAATTCAGTTAGTCAAAGACTCATCTGACAGCGAATTCCGACACCGAATAACTCTAAATTGCCTTCAAAAACACCCCATGGTAATTTGCTTCAGTGACTTACTTGTGGGCTACTTCTACCCCATACGTTCTAATGACAGCTCAGATTTTAAAATGCCTGGTACACAATCTTACTGAGGCCCTTAACGGGATACTGAGTCCGTTTAGTTTCAAATCGTCAGAGTATTATACATTTGACTACTGACACGCTTTTCCCCTGACATTCCTTAGAATAAAAGATTATACAGTTCTTCGAAAATAAGATAACGCACACATGCGTAAAAAAAGAAGCAAAATTGTTTTTAGCGGTCATAGAAAAGAAGTACAAGTGAATAATATTTTTAATGCAAATTTAGAATTAGATATCGTGGAGTCAAACAACAGCCAAAATAATATCTCGAAGAAACATTGAAATGGCGTTTGCTACTACATGATTTGACATGCATATGGAAAATGAAAGCATTTTAATGCTTGACAGAATCATATCATGATAATGTTAGCGGGACGAAAGAATATTAAGTCTTGATACACAAACAACAACTAAATGTATTCATGTTTCATGTAAAAGTAACTACACATAACGGGTCCAACACGAGTGTGAAAAAAAAACATTTTATTGGTATTCTGGCTTTTGAGTTTTCACTTCTCACGACTGTTGTTATTAGCAACATGCATCATTAAGGGTAAACTAATGTTAAGTAATTGAATTCTTAGAGAAAATATTGATACATGTATAACTGCTCACAGCTATTATCCATGAAAAAGGCAAATATATAGTGCAAGCTGTCAACTCCAGTATGCATTAGCATTAGTAGCATGTAAGAATTAACTTTAATGAAAAGAGCATGTACTTACCAAGAGAGTGCCTTTAGACCTTCATCCAAGGGACCAACAAAGTCGTCCAGGATACCATCCTGACTGGATGTCCTCCGCTTCTTTACCTGTCTAACACAGTCTTTGTAACTCCTTCGGAACTCGGGAACAGTGATCTTGCCATCTTTATTTTTATCCAACAAGCTGAACAAATCATCAAGTTCGGACGGCGCCAAATCGGGAAAAGCAACGCCAAGTTCCGATTTGTCAATATAACCAGAACAGTCAGTATCCAACACCAGGAAGAGATCGTCAGCTGAACAGTCGTCCATAGTTCGATCTCACAGATGATAAACACTATTTGATATATCTATCTTTATACGAATAAATTGTCCTTTATGGTATAACAGTCATCATTTTGGACACATAGTTGGTGTTTCTGAAAAAAAAAATGGGACAAGTTCAAAACATTTTGAGCTAAATTCTTTTCTATAATTTGATATAATAAAGACGGTTTGCTCTGATTTTGACTATTCAAATATTGTACAATGTCATTTAAAACACTTGAAAATGGAAATATTTATATATCGATAAAGAATTACTAAATTCTTGAATGCATTTTTAGACTTAACATATAACTTAACATACAAAATGTACGTTCAATGTTCGGCAATGTTTGTATTATTAATGACCAAAATTACCTGTTACCATGGTGACAAAAAGATTTCATTGCGGAACAGAAATATAGCATTAAGAATAACGATATCTATCGAGGACAAATCGTGGGGAAAATGCAATACATCGATCACAAATTAAATAATAAGTGTTCTGTATTTGGCATTTCTTTTATACCCTTTACTGAATTTGTAATAGCACGGTATTTTTTCCGTAGAATAAGTAAAACACATTGTTAGAACATCTATTGTATTATGTTTGAAACACTATGTTTTTCACATTCCATAAGTACTTTCAGTTTCAATTTTATTATACGTTGTAGTTATGTCTGGCTCCGTGTTTATTAAGGGTCGATTAACTTTCTAAATAATTTTATATCTTAATCCAGTAAAAGACAAAAAGAAAATCTTTCATAACTGGGTACTCACATATGTCGTTTCTTTTCGGAACATAATTGTAGCGTTTCGATTGTTTCCTTTTATTTTATATTCCCAGTGACGAAAACGATAATTCATCTACTTTATAGGAATGTTTTCTTCAGATATGGGAACAGAGCTTTCACAGGATTGTTCGGAATTTCACAGAGTCTGTGGTGTATGTAAGTATCGCCAGGCTGTACAAAATATACGTTAACACCACCTTCCGATATAAATCTAGAAGATTGTACAAAAGACTAGTAAATAACAGTTTTCAATGTTAATTTAGAAATTATTATAACCAAATACTAAACAAAATGCATCATACAGCTGTTTCTTGAAATTTAGGGGGCGACCCGAAGGAAAACAAAACTTGCTCGAATAAAAAATTTGTAATAGTAGCACGGTTCACCATGTTGTCGGCGTTCTTTTGACGCCATCAGACATATGCAAATTACGAAATTCATTAATTTTGAGGCTGGAACATCTGCCCATCTAGATTTTGACATTTCTTTCGATCAACTATGGTTTCCCTCAGTCGCCTCGAAGGTTTAAAATATAGGACCCACGCATCACTGACGCGTAATAAAAGTACAAACCAGGTGTGGGTGCAATTAACTTCATTATCTTGCTCCACTACATCTATTTCTAAATGTGTATTTGAATGTTTTTATGTAATATTCAGAAACGTCAGTATGGATTTAAATATGCAGGTTACGACATATACATGTTCGAGATATGTAAATTGATAGTTTTTGGTCGTCGTCATGATCATATTCTAAATGTTGTACATCCTAGTGCAATATGAAGTTAGTTGTGTTCTATACTCATTGCTATGCCAAGGGGTACCGCTCGCTAATTTTTCTTCTTTTGCCTTATTTCATCAATTTTGTGTTTAATAAAAATATTTTGTGATTATGTGATAACATTTTATCAACTACAGGTAAGGTAGGATTTTATAAACACCAACTATACCTTGTAAACAAACAGAAAAGAGAACAAACGTCCGTTTATCTTTAGGATACCATGTAGTTTGTTTGGAGTGAATGACAAAGGCGAATGTAGTAGTAGATCGTGATCTATAAAATACGTGATGACTTTGATATGGAAATCGTTAGATATGTCCTTTCCCAAGCAGTAAAATAACAATATTTCAATACTGTGCGAGTGTATGTCTCATATAATGTTCCACTCTTGAAACCTGTTCTGAATGTGATTTTTTCTCTCGATATTTTCCCACTTACCTTTACAATTTATGGCAAGGCTTTGCTATTGATATAGTTTGAATTACTGACTTTTATTCGAATAGTGTCGTGGTTTCGAATATAGATGTGCACTTAACGCTGTTCTGAAATTGTCTTTCTTTCGATCATTTTGGCTTTTTCTCAGTTGCCTCATAGTCTTCAAAATGTAGGCCCTTAGCATAACTGACGAGTTCAGAATGAAGAAACAGCTGTATGATGCAGTTAAACTTATTGTTTGACTCTACCGTACATCACTCATTACATAATTTCTGTTATAAGGCACTATTCACGTGTGTGTCTTTCGTAAATTTCTGATTGGTTACCCAAGAATAAGGGTCCCTGCAAGAAAGCGTTCATCGTCGAAGCCTGCTTAATATTTACTGTCAGGAGACAACACTTAAAACCCGCTACATTTACTTTAAAAGGGGAGGGACGTGGTCAACAGTATCGGACGTCATTAATCACAAATTCTCACTACACGCTGCTTTAGACGTGTTGATTACCCCAAAATATTTTTTTTAATTTTTTTTTTATTTGAAATGGCTTTCAAGAACTTGAAGCTTTCACTTGACACTATGATAGCCTATGCTAGCAGAGGTCTTACACCTAGCGAAAAGAATTACCCGGCTCACAAGTTGTAGTTCTTGGCACTTAAGTGATCTGTGTTTGTTTGTAACTTTTGAAAAATAGTTTGTATCAATATGAAATTACAGTGGTGAACGTCAAGGTCGAGCCAATGTCTCCTGGAAGCTTTGATATGCATGCATATGGATGATGTCACCGATCGATGTCACGGGAGATGTAAACTAATGTGCCAGGTGCACAGTGTTTCATGTGTATGTTGTTCATTATAGGAATAGTAATAAGCTGAAAGTTTTAATATTGATTTCTGTTGTATGTGGTGTGATAGCTAAAATATCTAACAGAGATCACACACGTTTGATTACTTTTTTATTTTGTACAACTTTAGTGTAAATATTTCAAATCATATCTATATTATAGAATATAGCATGAAACAATGTTCAGATTAAAATTTTATCCCTATATATATAAAAGCACACTTTCTAGAGTAAAGTGACGATAAATACCTGATTGTTGTAATAAGCCTAACGATTATTGTTTATATACATACATATATATATATGTGTGTATGTGTGTGTGTGTGTGTGTGTGTGTGTGTGTGTATGTGAGTGTGTGTGTGTGTGTGTGTGTGTGTGTGTTTGTGTATGTGTGTGTGTGTTTGTGTGTGTGTGTGTGTGTGTGTGTGTGTGTGTGTGTGTGTGTGTGTGTGTGTGTGTGTGTGTGTGTGTGTGTGTGTGTGTGTGTGTGTGTGTGTGTGTGGGTGGGTGTAAGTGTGTGGATGTGTGTGTGTGTGTCTGGGAGGGTGTGTGTGTGTGTATTTCCAGGTCGATTTCATTGTATTGTGTTGTACATTAGAAGCAATACGTAATCGGAAATTTTATTAATTATTATTTTAAAATACCGCCACCAAGAAAAACAGAAAAGAAATTCTATGCACAGCATTAAATTGTAAACATATTATAATATTATAATATATACATCTATGCTGTATATGCAGGTTCACAAGGATGCACACCACTAATATCACCGACACCAGAAGGCATACCCGATAATGTCAACAGTGAAAATGACACAAAGCAATTCACGGATTGCAGACTATAAACCCGGCGCAGAAGAATGAAGACAAAACATATCAAAGGAAAGTAACCTGGTCATTTGAACACCCAACACCGAGAGCAATCCATTGACAATGACACTTACTATTGGTAGTAACTCCGCCAGGCCGACCTAGCCCAACTGTTCTATCACTTCCGGTGTTACAACAAAAACAATCCCAAAGATTACGTATATATGTGTGTTCCGTTATAACAACATAACTAAGACGAGGTTTAGTAGTATTACTTAGAGATAAGTTATGGCTGACGGTAATGTCGGCTAGTTGTCAGCACCTCAGGTAAACGTTATCAGAATTATATGAAATCGATATGTATGTCACGTGATGCCTGTCATATATATGGTAATAACGCCATATGTTCCCCCACGTGACATTGTATGGTTGATGTTGTGTAGGTTCATATTGGTCAATAAAGGCGATACATGTACCTCGCTACAATAACTATTTGATTATAACAATCCATCCCTTACACAGAACATTTTCATTAATAATTAGAATGTGAAAGATTTTATAACACACACAAGTGAATATGACCTTTCAATGAAAATCCAGTATTATATACACAATAGATAACAAATTATTTTTAATTAATTCATTAAGCAACTACATATAACGTTCTAAAAATAGTCATTAATGCTAGGGTCCATATGTGTTGAAATGTGGGTGGATGATAAGGAGATTAAAAATATAGAGAAATTTTAAAATGGCGATTGCAATGTGAATTCATCTTATGCTGTAAAATCAATTTTTCTTTTCTTCAATAATGAAAAATTTTAATTTTGTAGTTGCTGTTGAGATAAATTCAACATGACCTGCTTCGCAGTTAATTAAATGTGTCTGAAGAGCAATTCAATTCATCACCCAATGAAATTGATAAAAACAAGATTCAATGTGTAAATACAATGTTAAGATAGCTTCCTCTCTGATTACTAACGTTTCGTCCAATCTTCTTCGGTGCCTTAATTTAAGGCCTCAAGTTTGTATTATTGTCGAATCATAGAAGGAAAAAAACTGTATGGTGTAGTTTAACTATTTCTACTTATCTACTTCTAAATTTGTATTGAAAGGAGTCTTTAGTACAATCACGGTACAGTAGATTTATATTTTTATCATTATTAAATAGTTGCCCATAACGTCAATTCTTTATAATCAAGGTGATCTATCTCATATATGTAAGTAACCCACTCGCCCCTTACCCAGATATCACCCATACCTTACCCATTGTCCTAATATCCTGTCACTTCTTGTTCAGTTATTTAGTGTTCCTCTATATCAAACTCAGCATCATTCATATTCATTCC